GCAGGCTAATGATCGGCACTTGGAGATGGCTGGGCAGTCAGAGCTGTTTCGGAAATATCCTCGCAAGGCTTCAATTCTCAACATGCCGCTAGTGACCACCCTCTTCTATTCCTGTTTCTACCACTACACAGAAGCTGAGGTGAGGACGATGTGGGAGAAGACAAGGGTTACATCTCATCCTTGTAGCCCTCAAGTGGGGTGGTCAAGCTGGAGCATATTAAGGAAATAAAGGGAGACATCCCTCCAAGAGACCTTGTCTAGGACCAGTTTTGAGTTATCTTTTCTGCTCTGAGACATTCAGCCTGGAACAGCTTATCAGGGAGTTGCCTCCTAGAAACCACATCTAGCTCCAAGGACTCAGAGTTGGTCCTAAATCTCATTAGGCTTAGGTGTGCAGAACTGGTCTTGGAAGTGCTGGAGTTACACCGGTTGAGGATGTAGGGAAACCAAACCAGAGGGAGAGAGCTAATGCAGTGCGATAATTGCTCTCTTCTGCCAGCTGTTTCCCCTGTGCTCATGTCACTGACGTGAGCAAAAAGCAGTAAAATCTTGGGGAGGTTCACCCTGTGCAAGGCAGATGCCTTACAACAGGTGTCTGAACCTCTCCCGTGGCCTGTCCTGCTGAGTTTGTACTAACTTGTCTGCTTTCTCTAGGGAACATTCAGCAGCCCCACCAACCTGAAGAAAACATTTAAGGTGCGTGAGTCTCCCTCTGTTGCGGCAGCACTAGCTGAAAACATGCACAGATAAACTGTATGTAGTGAGGGGGCTCAGTAGGAGGAATTTGAAGGGCTCAACACTGAGATATGGAGGGGGGCATGGCATCCTTGTTGAGCAGAGCCCTTCTGGAGCCTCAGAAAGGCAAGTGGGAGCCATGTGGAGACTTTCAATGGATGCACCCTGTCTGCAGCAGCACTTGCAAATCCCCACTTCATACTCCCTACAATGCTGGCTGTGGCCTCGGTCAGTATCTTGCTGTTTTGCTTGGCTGTTGGTGTGGGTCCTGACAGGGCTGGGGCAGATGTCATTCATGTTCAAGCTACACGCACTTTCTGAGCTGTGCTAATGCTCTGACTGCAGCTTTCTGCCTTGCAGATTCCTGATAAGCAGTATGTGCTGACTGCCCTGGCTGCCCGTGCCAAGTTGCGAGCATGGGATGATGTGGATGCCCTCCTCACTACCAAGGTGAGCTGCAGAAAGCTTTGCTAGGGACCCAGTTCCAAGTACTGGTATCTGCTACTGATAGCTGGCTTGTTCTGGAGTTACTGGACAGACTGGTTTTATTTCAGCAGCACCCAGCACCTCTGCTGCAGAGTGTTGCAATACCTTTCTCCTCTCGTGGCCTAAGACCTGTGCTGGGCCTGGCCTGGCTGCAGCAACAAGGTTGGAGAAGGGCCCTTGAGCTCCGTTACCAAAGAGTTTGCAGCCAGGCTGTGCCCAGCCCCTGCATGAAGGGCTCTGCCAAAGGTGCTTTTGGTGGCTGGTATAGTATGCTGCTGGCGCTAGGAAAAAAGCATTTTCTTGTGGCTGGAGGAATTGCCCTTCTGGTTTAACATAGGTTTGATTCTTGTTTCAGAACTGGCTGGGCTACACCAAGAAGAAGGCACCTATTGGCTTTCACCGAGTTGTGGAGATGTTGCAGAGGAACAATGCTCCTGTGCAGGTAAACAAGGAAGCACTGCTTATGTCGTCTTGCTCTTTGTAGGGATTTGGTGTTTTAATAACTCCCCAAGTGAGCTGCTTCGTAGTTTGAAGTGGGAGAACAGTTTGCCGAGCTGCTGGCTCTGCCATGTGGGCACAGCACTTGGCTGAGTGACCCATGCATCAACAGGAAGTGTGGGTGATAGTGAGGGCTGGGTCCTAGGTCTGACTGCAAGAGGGACAGCAGGTCTAGAGTTGTCTGTGAACTCTCTCCCTCTGTGAATTGCCACCTTTCTTTGCTATATTAAATTTTCTCTTGCTTAATCTGGCTGGCAATGGTTAACCTGATCCATAGGAATGAGGCAGCCTAGGACTCTGAGCTTTGTGAGCAAAGCTTTACTGCCTCTGGGGTCCTGACCAGTCTTTTCCAGGTCACTTGTTCCCTTAGGAAGGACAGGGTCAAGTCTGTGTGACCGGCAATCTTGAAAGGTTTTGGGACTAAGGTGAGAGAACAAGGCAGGAGGTACCTGCAGAAGGGAGCTGAGACATTCTTCCATCTCTGGCAGGTGCTGCAGGAGTACGTGCGCCTGGTGGAGGATGTGGAGACCCGGTTGAACCTTGCTACCAAATACAAGTGCCATGATGTTGTCATTGAGGTAGGCACCTGCTGTGTGTGTGAAAAGATGGGACATGAGCCTGCTTTTTCTCTCTAGCTTTTCTGTGCTCTGCCACATGCCACTGCTATCATGTGCCTGGTGAGGTTTCTTGATCCCTGTGGCCTGGGAAAAGTGGTGAAGTTCCCAGTGGAAGTCCAGTGAGCCAGGAGAGTGACTCCTAGTATTTGTGTTATGAAATTGTTCTGTGTTGGGAACTTGATGGGGGATTGTAGAGTTGCCCTGCTCATCTGCAGGGCACCAGCTCTGGAAGTGTCCAGGTCACTCAGCTGGATGTTGGTTTTGCTGTTCATCTAGACCTACAGGGATCTAAAGGATCGTATCCAGCTGACAGCATATAAGTGCAAGGTGGAGCGGGGCTCTGCAGAAGAAGAGAAGATAAACAGTATTCTCAACAACATGGTAAGAAGTTCTTACTTTTTCTTCCAAAGACTCTCATCAGAAATAGACATAGATAAGGTGTAAGGGCATGGTTGTGCTACATACTTTCTATCCCTGCTGGGAAGCTAATCTTATGTTTGGGGTTGCATTCAGCATGGGAATAAATGGTTATACTGTTGGAAAGTGCGCCCTCTAGCCATAGCTGTCCTCCTCAGGGTTTGGGAGTCACTAACTTGGCCCCTAAGGGATCTATGTTCAGCATTGCTGTTAGTCATGTCTTGTTCTCTCTTTTAGCAAATCCGGTGGAAGAACTGAGCACCTGTGAAGGAGTCTGTTTGGCCATTGCCTTGTCATTGAAGGCGGAAACTGCAAAACTCAGTCCAGTGTCAGCAGAGCAGCTCTGTTTCTAATCATTGTATGATCAGCATTTGTCAGTGACAGTGGGTGCCTATGGCTTGAGGGACAGTGGCATTCAGGCTGGTTGAAGGCAGCTACTCAAATGTAGCCATCAAAATCATGGTACTGATCCATCAGGGTTGATTCTTTTTGGAATCTGATTGTCTTTGACTTGGCTGTAAGCCAGGCATCACTTTTGTTTATGGAGGGAAGTTGCTAGGCACAGCAAGGTTAATGTTTGCTCTGGGTGGTGCCTGGACTTATTCTTGCAAGAGGAACAGTCAGTCACTCTTGTGAGTCTTTCCACTAGACAGTGCTGACCAATCCCTGTAACACTTAAGCTGGCTTGGGCATCACCAATCATGGCTGTGGCTGGAGTAAAGCCTACTGGACCTAGTTCTCCTTGTGTCCAAGGGTTGGGGGAAAGGACCAGCTGCACCTTAAAAACTCTTTTTTTTTTTTATTGTTGTTGGTTTGTTCTGGCTCACTCTAGGAAAAGAGGTGTGTGAACTCCTGCAGAGAGCCAGGACAGCAGCCTCTGCCAGTATCCTACTGCTGGCACTTGGAAGATCCCTTTATCAGGGAAAGACAGGCACCTAGTGTGGAGCTGGTTAGAGTCCTGTTGGATTGCATGGAGAGCAAGCAGGGACCCCTCTCAGTTGACACAAACCTGCTGGCACCAGCAGCTCTTTTGTCTGAGAGTGTTATGCCAGGAAGGATTGAACTGCACTTCCTCAGGCAACTGCTGGCTTCATCCTTCAAGACCTCACTTCAACTCCTTAAATAAAGCTGTTTCTTTTTCCTTGGGCTGTTTGTTTCCTTCCCCGACTAAGCACATTGTCACCCTTATGTGCTGATCCTGAGCAATTTATCGCACCTCCCACAAAGTGAATATGCAGGGTGTTTTCTCATGTTCTGAAAAGCACAGTGCATGTCACCATGGAGTGGCTTTGCTTTCAGCACTACCTTATTTCACACTTTTAATGCCATCAGCACAGATGAAATAATTTTAATGTTGTAGGAGACTTTGCTGCTGCAGGGGGGTCAAACAAACATGAGGGTAGGTTTGGATTCCAATTTCCCTGCTGCACTGCACACTCTCATTTTTTTCTGTTGGTGTATGTGTTTTTCCTTACAGAATTGTTTGGATTGGAAGGGACCTCTTCATCATCTAGTCCAATCCTGCTTTAGCAAGGTCACCTGGAACAGGCAGACCAGGACTGTGTCTGTTTGGGTTTTCAATATCACCGCTGTAGACAACTCAGCTTCTTTGGGAAACCTGTTCCTGAATTTGGCCACATTCACAGTAAAAAGGTGTTTTGTGTCTTCAGATGGACTGAAGTCACGTTTCAGTTTGTGCACCTTGTTGTCACTGGGCACCACTGAAAAGCATCTGGGTCCCTTCATTCCCTCTCATCAGATACTTAGACACATGGATAAAATTTCCCCCGAGCCTTCTTCAGGTTCAACAACCCTAGCTCTTGGCCTCTCCTCATCTGAGAGATGCTCCAATTCTGTAGTCATTTTAGTGGCCCTTTGCTGGACTCTGTCCAATATCTCCATGTCTCTTGTACAGAGGAGCCCAGAACTGGACATGGCATTCTGGATTTAGAAAGCAAGGATTACCTTCCTTAACCTGCTGGCAACATTCACCCTAAGACAACCTAGGATGCTGTAGACTAGGCTGAAGTTTGCTGCAAAGCTCTCACAAATGCTCCAGTCCAGGATGTTGCCTGGTTGTAGGAGTTGGAATGGTGTCACTGGTTGGGATTTATGTCAGGGAGCAACAGGAGAAGCTGAACATAGCCTTGTAGGTATCTGATGAAGCTATAAAATAAATTTTCACACCTGTATTCTCCAAGCATGAAGTGCTCCTGATGCTGAGCTGGGCTCTGTGCCCCAGTGTCCATGTTTCCACCACGTGTCCTGAGAGCCTGGGTAAGTGCTCCCCAACCTGGGCCTGGAAGTGGGACTGCACTTATATGCACTTTAAGTGCACTTTTCTCACAGCACTTCCAGCAGAACCCACTGTCTGCCAAACATCAGTTTAGTTGTTTGCTTTTTTTTACCAGTCCCAGCTGAGGGTGGTGGAGACATTAACACTGTCCTTTGAATGCTGGCTATTTTAATTTAGTCCACTCCATTCCTGTGCCTTTTCAAAATTCTCCTTGTTATTTACTAAGAACTTGGTCAGTGACTGAGACTCCAGGTTGTTAAACTAGCAGAAACCATCTCCCCCACAGGGTGGTAGCGCTGAAACAGAAACATTGCTCTCCTTGTTTCATGGCTGCAGGGTCAGTGTGACAAGCTTCTCGCTGGGCTATGGAGGCCCAGCCAGGAGAGGAGATCAGCCTGCAGCATTGCAGCAACTGCTACCATACACACTGTCAGCTGCCCCACAAACTCTTAGATAAAACAAGACAAGTGGGGAGAATGGTCCTCCAGGGGGATGCTTGGAATAAAATCCTCTTTCTAATCATCTCAGGGAGATAGGAAACAGGGATTATTAAATAGCTTTTTATAGATCTTGAAAACTAGCCAGATCCCAAGGCTTGGCTATTTCAGCTTTAATTCAGCCCACGTGAACCGGGCCAGGAAGCTGAGCTCTGTGCATGTTTGTCCCTGGCAGAGAGGCTGCCTGTTTCGTGTCATTCTGCTGCTACCCTTTGCCATGTAGGAACAGTGATGGGCAGCCACCAAAGTCCTCTGTGCCACTGTGGGCAGGCAGACAGCAGTCCCAACCTCGAAGCAGTGGTTTGTGTTTTACCTGCATGTGGCAGAGCACAGGTAATTGTGCTTCCAGTGCCCGGAGGTGCTGGTTGGTCACCTCTGCTCTCTCTATGGGCTCTTGAGTCCCTTTCCCCTTGCTTATCTCGGCAGACCTGTAGGGGCAGAGGCTCACGTGCTTTTACAACAATGCTCAGCTGGTGTCCTGGGTGGATATTGCATTCCTCTGCTGTCTCTCATCAAACAGTGCTGTCCGCCTGCTCTGTCATTTGTCTTGTCATCCAGGAGCCCCACATTGTGTACAGCTTCGACACCTCCATCCCTCTCTGCAGGAACTGCACTGGTAATTAACATTCTATTTCATAGAATAATAGAATCACAGAATCAGCTGGGTTGGAAGGGACCTCTGAGATCATCAAGTCCAACCCTTGATCTACTACCACCGTGGTTACTAGACCATGGCACTAAGTGCCACATCCAGTCTCATCTTAAAGACCTCCAGGGATGGAGAATCCACCACTTCTCTGGGCAGCCCATTCCAATGCCTGATTACCCTCTCTGTAAAGAATTTCTTCCTAATATCTAACCTAAACCTCCCCTGGTACAGCATAAGACCATGTCCTCTTGTCTTGCTGACAGCTGCCTGGGAGAAGAGACCAACCCCCACCTGGCTACAACCTCCTCACAGGTAGTTGTAGAGAGTGATGAGGTCTCCCTTGAGCCTCTCCAGGCTGAACAACCCCAGCTCCCTCAGCCTCTCCTCACAGGACTTGTGCTCGAGTCCCTTCACCAGCCTCGTTGCTCTTCTCTGGACCTGCCCCAGCACCTCAATATCCTTCCTGAACTGAGGAGTCCAGAACTGGACACAGTACTCGAGGTGAGGCCTCACCAGCGCTGAGTACAGGAGAAGAATCACTTCCCTGGTCCTGCTGGCCACACTGTTCCTGATACAGGCCAGGATGCCATTGGCCTTCTTGGCCACCTGGGCACACTGCTGGCTCATGTTCAGCTTCCTGTCAATCCAAACTCCCAGGTCCCTCTCTGCCTGGCTGCTCTCCAGCCACTCTGTCCCCAGCCTGTAGAGCTGCCTGGGGTTGTTGTGGCCAAAGTGGAGGACCTGGCACTGGCCTTGTTGAACCTCATCCCGTTGGAATCAGCCCAACTCTCCAGCCTGTCCAGGTCCCTCTGCAGAGCCCTCCTGCCTTCCAGCTCATTGACACTTGCCCCCAACTTAGTGTTATCTGCAAATTTGCTGATGGTGGACTCAATCCCCTCATCTAAATCATCGATAAAGATATTAAACAGAACTGGGCCCAACACTGATCCCTGGGGGACACCGCTAGTGACCGGCTGCCAACTGGATGCAGCACCGTTCACCATCACTCTCTGGGCCCGGCCCTCCAGCCAGTTCCTGACCCAGCACAGAGTGCCCCTGTCCAAGCCATGGGCTGCCAGCTTTTTCAGGAGTATGCTGTGGGAGATGGTGTCAAAGGCTTTGCTGAAGTCCAGGTAGACCACATCCACAGCCTTCCCCTCATCCACCAGGAGGGTCACCTGATCATAAAAGGAGATCAGGTTGGTCAGACAGGACCTGCCCTTCCTAAACCCGTGCTGGCTGGGTCTGATCCCTTGTCCATCCTGTAGGTGTTGTGTGATTGTACTTAGGATGATCTGCTCCATAACCTTGCCAGGCACTGAGGTCAGGCTGATGGGCCTGTAGTTTCCCGGGTCCTCCTTCTGGCCCTTTTTGTGGATTGGCGTGACATTCGCCAACTTCCAATCATCTGGGACCTCCCCAGTGAGCCAGGACTGTTGGTAGACGATGGAGAGCAGCTTGGCGAGCTCTTCTGCCAGCTTCCTCATCACCCTTGGGTTTATCCTTCAAGGAAAACAAAAATCAATGCTGAATAGCTGGTGGCCATTTTCTATGCAGCCCTGAACAGCAGCATGTGGCCAGAACCTGCCTCACCAGAAGGCACTGAAACTACACAAAGACCTCAGTTTTCCTGAATGCTTCTCTGTGTGGGCAGAGCAGAAAACTTCCTGTTCAGGTTTGTGTGCAAGAGTTTTGTCAGCAAGGGTTTTACCTCTTTGATGACTCAAGAGGAGAAAGTAAACGGTTGAATGCTGAGGTACTGCTTGTCCAGGCTTCCTCTTCGCTCTGAAACTTGCCTCATCCCACAGCTAAAACATGGGCTGTCTTATTGGGTTAGAAGATGCTGAACTCTGTGTTGCCTTAGGACCACATACCTGCCAGGGAAGATTGTCTTAGATGATGTATTAGCAATAAAAGACCTGGAATGAGTTATTTTGTCCCTGGTTCCTGTTTGGTTACTTATCAGGGTTGTCTAAAGCCAATGAGCAGGACTGGGGCACCAGATGAAGAAAACAAAAATTCCTGTGGGAATTTCTAGAGAGGACAGTTCTTAGGGGTAATGAACTTATGGCAGTTCATGAACTAGGATGTTTAGACAGGGGAACACTGCTTGAGGGAAATTACTCCTGCTTGTGCAGCATTGTTCTAGAGCCATTAGGCTCAGTTTTGCTCCACTTAGCAGAGTAATGCCTGGAACATTTTATATTCAAGTCTTTGAGTCTGATTGTTTCTCAAAGGCCCAAGGAAGAGTCTTGTAGTCAGACATTGAAGAAAACCATTATTTGTCACCTTATTAACAAGCTGCTTTGGACTGCAGTTGTCCGCAAATGTTTTTATTTGTTTTCTCTTCCCAGAACCTTTTCCTGGTTTGACTTGACAGCTGTACCAATAAGAAAGTCTCTCTTTAGCCAGCTGCTAGAATAGAGCGAGCTTGTCCAGTGCCATCCCAGGCCTGGTGCTCTACTAGACAAGGCATCCTCTGGAGACTGGTCTACAAAGCAATGCGGGTAATCAGCACTAATTAGCTGTAGTGGAGCCTAGTGTGATACTGGATGACAAGTCTCCATGCTTCACAGCTGCTTCCAACATCTTCTCAGAAATTCCAGAGGAAACTGCTGAGTATGATTCTAAATTCTCATAAACCATAATGAAGCCCATGCAGAATGCTTTGCTGAGATCTCATCCCAGCCTCCTCATGGAACTAAGGGGTGTGAGAACCAGCACTGTTCACTCTTGGCCTTTTCAAACTATTCCTGCTAACAACCCTATGTACACATTTTTTTCTACACGTTTCACTCTTTGGACTGTTCAACAAACCCACTTACCCCTGGCTGCCTGAGCTTTTCTCTTTTTTTATCTGAATTTGCTTATTACATAGTCTTCTTGGCCTATGAACTGCTTCAGTTTCACTGTGTTTCTGTTGCAGCTTCAACAGAAAACTGAATTACAGAAAAAATTACATATATTTTGTAGTGACTACTGCTTTGGTGTAACAAACTAAACAGGATCGGGCCCAGTCTTTTTTTATCCTTTTATTTTTTAATCCCCATGGGGGAATCTCAATAAAGCCATTGAATCCTGGCAACATACTAATGATCTAGTCAGGAGCATTCTTTCTGTTGAGCCAGGCCTTAATCAGCACTTACTTCTACTTCCTTGCTGGTAATAATGCACTCCACCCTCACCACCACAGACTATGTGATATATCATTCAAGGAAAAAGGAAGTAACTGGTCAATCTGCCCAAACCCACCCAGGAAAAAGCAAGCTTTATTCCCTAAATTCTCTGGTCCAGCTTACAGTATTTTCTCATGCTTCTTGCCACCATCTATCGTGTTTCAGTACTGTTTACCATGATAAGACACTGCCTACCCGGTTTTGCCTCACAGGAAATAATTTCTGTGGTGAGGCCAGGGACTAGTTGTGCACATTGCAACGAGGCCCCTCACTTAATTATGATGGCTGATAGCAGCTGTAGCCACACCTGTTATGCCTGTTATTGTATGTGCCATACATACAATAACATACACTTGGGCTTCAAAGTAAGCCCAGTCTGCCGGCACTAAAGACTGGGAGAAATCTATTCACTTGAGCATCTGGCAAGTTGTCGTCAATCACTTGTGGTTAAAATATGCATATGATTGTTTTTTGGTCTTTTTAATCAACTGTGAAGCAGAAGTGAAAGACAGACAGTGGTCTGACCTAGAGCTTCTGCTTCACTTGGTTCCTATAAGCAAATGAAGGATTGCAGGAAAGAGACAATGTGGAGATGTGTTTGGTCTAATCAAATGTCTAAGAGCTGCAGTGGCCTTTTCTATAATTGGGAAAAGGCGGAACTGCACCTCCTTGGACAATCTGCAAGGTAATAAGGGTCTAGTCTGCTGTTACTGCTGGGCTTCTTACAAGGTGGAAGTGCAGCCTGAGTCTCTAATTCTGCCTCTGGGTGTCCTGCGAGACAGGGAGAGCATCCGCTCCCACCTCGGTCTGGGATCCTTCCAAAGAAGGAACTGTATCCGCTTCCACTGTGGTCTGGGACTGTGGCAAAGGAGGAACTGTAGTATAGGACTCCAGTCCTGCTTTTTTGATAAACTCTGTGAAAGTGAGGGCATCTGCTTTCTTTCCTGTTTGGGACTTTCTCTCTAGGAAGAGACCCATGTTGTCTCTGTATGGGAGGGCAATGGATCTGCTGAAGAGAGGCTCCTCAATCCCCAGCAACTCTCGCACATGTTGTGAAATTTCCTGAAATACAAGATAAAATGCCACAAATTCTCATTTCACAGGGCAACAGATAAAACTATACATTCTGTGTCAGAGCAGTAGGAAAAAGAACTGAATTTCTGAATTTTGGAACAGTTTCACACTTGAAGTTGCAACACAAGAGGGATCTGAACCCATAAGCCCCATGTGACATTGTAAAAGCAGAGCAGATCCCTTTTTCTCCAGAATTATTGTGGAGGATGACATCACATCTGGTCTCTTAGTGGCATAAATAGCTCCACTTTCCTCTTTGCACTTGAAGAACAAACAAGTTATAGGTGAATGAGCTGCAATCTCTCCTGTTTATTTCAAAATCATCGCTGTTTGTTAAGTTATAATGTCAACAGCAGAGTCTAAACACAAGAGTAAAAACTAATTAGCAGTAAGTCATATTGCTCATTAAGAAAATGGCTGTGTGAGCCAGCTAGACCTGGAACTGTCAGTGAACAGAGCCTTGCCATTATTTTTGAAGTCACTTCTGAGAATGTAACCATCTGATTCGACTGAAGCTTCAAAATACAATTCTCAAGGTTTTACTGATTTTTCACAGTATTTGCTCAAAATCTTCTCCCAACTTGGGCTTGACTCTGAAGAGTAGTACCCTACTTTGTGTGATAACAAAAGAACACCAGACTGGTATCTTCAGTGGTTTTGATATATAAAATACCAATACAGTGGGATTAAAACCAGCAGTAATGTCACTTGTCCATGCTGCATAGCTTCCACCTGTGTAGTTCTCTACCAAATTGCCATTTCCCCTAAACTGCAAACAGTTTCTGTCTCACTGAGCTGATGCTATCACTTTTATTTCTATAGTAACTGTATCAGTTTCAACTGCTCACAGCCTTTAATTTATATTTCTTGTTGGGAAGTGATGGCCTTAACGTTTCACCTGCTCTAGTGCACACTTCCTGAAAGACTCACAGGGCCATGTCCTGCAGAGCTCTGCGTGCTTGGATTTCATCACAGAAAAGTTCTTTAAAACACAAATAACTAACAGGATAAGGCATAACCTTCAAGAACATCTTGGTTCCACTGAAGTCTGTGAGATGTTCCCAGTTTACTTGCAAGCTTTGGAAAACATTACAGAGACAGTCTCATTTCCAAGCTTGCTGCACTATGCTGGCTATCACTTATCCTGAGGAATTTCAGTTCCTACAGGAGGAAGGTTACAGTTGGTACCTTTAACCCACGCCTAAGTATTTCTCAACAGTTGCATTACCACCATACACAATCCCTATATCCCAATATAAGGGTGAGGCTTACAAAGGCTATAAAGTTCTTGCCACCTTTGGTAAGCACAAATGACTATAAAGGCTCTATCTGCTTGTACCTGAAATATTCTTGAAGGGTTGCTGTCTGAAAAACTAAGTGTTGTAAATTGATGCTTTCCTCTCAAAGCAGCAGGCAAACTCATGGCTCTAGCCAGTCTTTTTGGTGGCATATATCGTTTCAAACAGTTAAGATTGTGCAGCCAGGCAGAACGGTAGTGAAATAGCATTTTGGTGCTCAAGAACAAATCAAACTGTGCTAATACTCTAGTCACTGGAGCATAAAGATTTTTCTCTCTTCCAGGTTATTTGAACTTCTACCTATGTCTTCTGGGGAAAGTAACATCAAAATTTGATGCAAAGCAGACAGTTTGGCTCTGTAAATGCAGCCCCAAGTCCTTCTGAGGTTTCCATTAGGGAAGGGAAGAAGGGTTATGAAATTTAAGTCAACTTGTTGATTTTCTGAACCTTTAGGAAGCTCTGGAAGGCCATATCGTAACCCCCAAAGTCAGTTCTTAACCACCACTGTCTGTTAAAAAAATATGCAGGTTTGAAAAGAAAATGGCCAAAACAAGGAAGTAAAAATGAGTGGCCTTTTTGCCGCTTGAGATCAGTGGCTCAACTGCTGCAGGTTAAATCTGACTAGATTTTCAGAAGTTCTACAAATGAGTAAGTGGAAAATTACTAAAAAAAAATTCCAAGTGGTATCTAAAAAAGGTGTGTGCATCTTGCTAAGCAATTTTATGAGCCCAGGGGAACAACATAGGCTTAAAGAAAGGCCAAGTACTCCTGGTGCACTTCTGGTGCCCCAGCTGCGGCCAGTTAAAGATCTGTACTTGAAAAGACTCTAAAAATGTGACTGTTTGGCTGAACAAGTTTGGTTGTCCAGTTCCAGGCTCACTCTTCGAATCCACGATCTGCCTGGGAAGGCAGGCCATGGCCCAGCCTGCTTCTCAGCGATAAGGGTCAGCGAGGGGGGTCAGGGGACTGAGGGAGCCCCGGGACCCGCCAGGCGCACCTGCATGTGGCAGAAGTCCGTGACGCCCATGGCGGGCAGGTTGGAGCAGTTGGCGAGGACGAGGCGGCGGCCGGTGATGCCGTTGGCCCTGAAGCATTCCTGGATAGGGGAGCGGAGGGAGAGGCGGGTCGCCCTCTGCCACTGCCGCCCCTCTTGCCGCTCACACACGCTCGCTCACACACACACACGCACACACAGAGCTCAGGGCCATCAGTGCAGGGGGCGCTCAGGGCGGGGGCAGCCCCGCACCTCGTACTGGGGGAAGCCGAGGTGTGCCACCCACTCCGCCACCTCCTCGGCACTCCAGGTCAAGAAGGGGCAGGCGGACCGCGGCACTCCCGCGCCCTGAAGCTCGGGCTCAGGCTCCGGCCCCTCGGGCCCCGGGCGCGGCTCCATCAGCTTCTTCCCCAGGCCGCCCCGGCGTCTTTCCGGGATCCGTTACCATGGTAACCGCCACTTCCCGGAGGCGCACCCCGTTCTCCCCTCCGCCACCCCCTCCGCGCTGTCAGCCTGCAACGCCGCCCGCGCCCCACGGCTCTGCAGAACTAGATGCTGATTGGCTGCGTTGCCGCGGGGGGAGGCTGAGGGATGAGCACCAAGGCGCCACCATCTCCCTCCTGCCGGGATCACACGCCCCCGATCGGGTGTTTCCGCCGCCCCGCTCGGGTGTTTCCGCCGGGCCGGCCGCCGCGGTTCGGCCCCGCTCGGGTGATTCCGCCGTCCCACCGAGCCGTGCCTATGTCGGCCGCGGTCTCCGCCGCCGCCGGCTCCCGCTTCGAGCCCCCGGGCGGCGGCACCGCATCCCGGGGCCCCGCAGGTACGGGCTGGGTAGGGGAAGGGGCAGCCTGCCGGCGCGTGTTTTAGCTTTGGCCTTACGGGGAGGGTGGAAAGCAAACTCTCTCGTTTCTCGCGGAGAAGCCGAATTTCCGCGCTGGCAGATCTCTCGGATGGCTCTGTGGTCTCCGGGCGTACCTGGACTGCCGAGCTCACCTGCTCCCCTGCCGGCACACCTGCGCTCGGGCGCCTGGGACTGCAGCTGGAGTTCCTGGCGTTTCCCCCCTGCGGGGGAGAGAGCGAGGATTGATGGAGGTTTGTGCTTTCCCC